TATTTTATTTGGTTTTAATTTATTTGTTGTGTGATAGATTATGACATTTTTAGCAGCTGGTCATGAAACCACAGGTACTGCACTTTCATGGTCATTATACTTACTTGCAAAGCATCCAGAAGCTCAAGATTGTCTTCGTCAAGAATTATTGGAAGCTTTACCAGATCCTGATTTAGAAACATCACTTGACAAAATAAATTCCTTAGAATATTTAAATTGTGTATTCAAAGAAACTATGAGAGTCATTCCACCAGGTATTTTATTATTATTATGAAAGATGGAAAATTAATATATCTATACAATTATTTATATTTAAGTATGTGTATAATAAGTGTAAGTATATATATACTAATACCATATTATTATTTATATCAGCACCAGCAGTAGCAAGAAATAATGAAATTGATACAACAATTGATGGATACTTTATTCCAAAAGTATAAAAATTTATTTAATTCTAATTTAACATCTATTGATTTATATATCCATATAACATCTATACTTAATTTTTCTTAATTAATCAATAGGACACACCAATTATAATATCATTATATGCAGTTCACCATGATTCAAAAATTTGGGGAGAAGATCATGACAAATTTGAACCATTAAGATGGTTAAATCCAAAGTTAACATCAGAAATAAATAATCATACATATTTACCATTTTTGACAGGTCCTAGATCCTGTATTGGTTCTAAATTAGCCACAATTGAATTTAAGATTATTTTATCCTCTTTAATAAGAAAATTCAGATTTAGGGAAGTTGAAGGTTCCCAGGTCAAAAGGAAAATTGGTTTTATTACTAGACCTGAACCTGGAATTGATCTTTATGTTTCAAAAGTGGAATAATAATAATGTGCATGCTGTGTAAAGAATTTGTAAAGAATTACTTCAAAAACGAATTAAACACTTTCCTATGAACAAATACTTTAATTGTAGTAAAAATATAAGTTATCCTTTATTCTTTTAAAAATAATATCTTATTTGTAATCTCATCTATCTGAATATTCTTTAAATTTAAATAGTAAAATAAATAAATTGTTTGAATATAATGTTTAGATTAGTTCTTATTTATTTCATTTATCCATGATGTTACATTTATCATGATTATAACGTAAATTATTACAAATTCAATGTCTGATTTGCGTTGAATTTCCAATAAAGAAAATTTCCCATGAAGTCACACACATGTTATAAGATAATTTAATATTATTATTTCAAATAAATGTACATATTTTTTTTTTTTGCATGGCACAGACACAGCAAAAACATATTACTTAAAGATCATTTATGTTCTTTTCTAAACTGTGGTGTTCCCAATGTAACTCAACACCATTTGGTAGCTTCTATAAAACCATCATTTTTCTTTTGTTCTTTCAATATCATCATGAGTATACATGCAGCCCAAAGTATTTTGAAACTGTCATAAAGGGTTTACACTTATGTTTTTAATAGTTGGTGCCGTAATTAATTTCTACTTTCTACCATTAATCAAAATTGGAATAATTTTGACCATCGAAATCACCAAACCAATTTGGGCTGCAAGCATAACATGAGAATAAGAACGAAATAGTAATGGGAATAATAAAAATTATTCTCTCTGTATGTATTGATATTGAATTTTTAATTCTGTTCACATTATAATTATTATTATTATACACGATTGATAAAAATCAAATTTTATTTTGTCCAATAAAAACTGGCCAATAAACTCGATTAAATTTGTGAAAAGGTCTATCCACAAAACTGCACGTTTTCATGTGACTTTGCATAATTTTATAATAGATAATATGTCACTTGATCATTGATTGGTAGACCAAACTAAAAATGATTGATAATTTGACAGCTTATATACTTACTATAATTTTAGGTGTAATAAGTTTTTTCATTTATAAATCTTTAATTGGACCTTTTTACTTGTCACCATTACGTAAAATACCTGGTCCACCTTCTGAAAGTATTTTGTTTGGAAATCTTTTGACTATTCTGAATTCCGATGTAAATAATTTACATTTTTTTTTTCTTAAATTTTTATTCCCTGAATAGTAAAAATAAAATATAATATTAATATTAAATTAAAAGGTCGGAAAACCTCATTTAGATTGGAAAAAGAAATATGGAAGAATATTAGTATATCATGGATTTTTAAATAAACCATTTATACTTTTAACAGATCCTAAAAGCTATCCACAAATATTGACTTCTTATGAATTTAATAAACCAAAAGATTTGAGTACAGATTTAAAACTTATATTAGGAGATGGAATTTTGTTTGCTGAAGGTGATCAACACAAACGT